GATCTGCAAAATTTAGCCAATCAGATTTTTTAGCTTCAACATCAGCCAAACTTCAGCATCAGCCGTAACATTTAATAATAGGCTTATTATAAAAATTCGATAGTAAAAATTTCCAATATTTATGCGGCCGATTTAAATTTAACGGTTTTTTTTTTGGATCTAACACTTATAGAGCTAATGAAATGATAATCATTGAGTGTCAAAGATGATAACGATCCTGTAAATGAATAAAATTTGTCGTACAACTATCTATCTTATCCAATATTATAGAGTTGTAAACGTAATGATAGCAACAGTGCAAAAGTAATCCTACTGCTTTTAACCAATTTTTAATCGACTAGGGGCGTGTGGGAAATATTAAATGACCCTGATAGATCATTTGGTCTTTGAAATGACTCATGACTGGGTCACTACTTGAGTCATTTGAGTCATTTCAAGTCATTTACCATCCCCGGTATCACAGTATAGCATGTTTTAGTACTATTCTGTTATATATGTATAATTTTAAATTTATTCATTCACATATAAATTACATGTATACGTTATGCGTTAGATTAATGTCTGCGTCAGATCAAAATAATTGTAATTAATATCCTAAGTTCTTCATCCTAACCCTAATAAAACTCTAAATTTAAATTTTGGATCTGACACAAATTTTATTCTAACACATAACATATGATAATTACCTAAAAACATTCAGGCAAGAGTAAATACACCTGAATGCCCGTGAGAACAAATTTCGGATTTTAAATAGCTATTTATAACTATATATATACTAATTTTTATGATTTTGGTTTAAAAAAAATAGACAATCATATGTAGGTAAAAACGAATCAAATATTTGATTAGGTGTATCTATATATAATCCTTCATACTTTTAATAAAGTTTTTTCTATCCTACAATATATATGTCGACGAAGTTGATTTGATTCCATCAAATATACAGGTGTTATTTATAGGGATATATTGTCGAGTAACAAGTTTAATTACTTCTTGAGACACTAAACCACCAAGTAAAGAAGCCATATTCGGTAATTCTGATCCTCCAGCGCGGCACCTAAAATCAAAGAAATATGGTATATGTGTTAAATATAACTCATGAAAAAACGACTAATAAAATAATAATGATATTATAGTACATTTCATGGATATAATCATCCAGATGATCTGGAATGTTTGTGATCTGCCAATCTGATAACAAAACGTTAACGTAAGTTTTTAATGACTCGAAATCAGATTTAGCCTCTTCAGTATCTTCCTCAGAGTCTCCTTCAATGAAGAAAGTAAAAATAATATTTTGAATTATCTTTAAATTACAATGTTATTAAGAATTCTTCAAGGTTGAAATTCAATGCCATACCAGGATAATGGTTATGAGCTTCATAGAATTTATCTACTGCTCGAATAAGAACATAATGAACAATATTATCTTGCGGGTCTTGTAACCATCTATCTACAATTAATTTACCAGTCAGATTATTAAAATTGTTGTATAAAACGGTTTTAACTTATATGTGTGTATACATATATATATTTTTTTGTTCACTTTTCACTTAAATGTTATACTTACCAATGTCTGCTTTTTTTGGATCACTTATATATTCTTCTTTTAGTGACCTATATCTAATTACCTGTATGAAAGCTGCATGCTTGCAAAAACTAGTAATTTCATCATCATGGATGAAGTCACTCGTTCTTCCGATAGAACTCAAAATCTTATCAACATGCGAACGAACTGCAGCAATATCTGTTTTAGCTTTCTGACGGTAACTGAAGAATAATATACATTTAGATAATAAAATAATATAAAAATATAATTGCAATTAAATAATAAGTTAAAAATCATCTGTTGCATACACAGTTTGCAATGTGACATATGTAGAAGTATCAGCTTTCATATCAGGAACAGTTCCAGCCAAAGGTAATAATCCTTGACCTTCATTCGTAACGAAATCACGGATAGCACGTGTAAGAATCCAAAAGCTAGAGGACTATTGAGAAGTTATATTATTTAAAGATATTAATTAATGAGTTTTTTTAATATATTTTAAATAAATGCGATTAATTCTTCATGCATACATTTGTGGTTATAGATTCACATTCTGGATCATTAAATATTTCTTGAACTTGGCTTGTCACTTTAGTAGGGGCAAAGGCTTTCCACACATTAGCCAATGCCTCATTAAAATTTTCTTCATCAGCATTCCGCCTACCACTCTCAATAAGTTGTTTGAATTGTTTTTTCTCGGCAGATGTGCTTGGTAATTTTCCATCATGCTTTAATTCAGGATAATTTAATATAGTAAGAATTTTATAAAGATTACGGTTTCAAATACATAGTTGAATATAGTTGAAGTAAATTTATCAATATTTACATCTTTTTTCCATTGATCTAAATATTTCAGCAAAATTACTACATAAGGGATATGCCCATGATCCATATTATCCATAGAATCAAAATCAAAAGGTTTAACATATTGTTCTAAAGCTGGAAAAGGTACATCAAGCCGCAGATCAATGATATTCTCCGGATGTGTTTCCACAACTATATAAGAGTAATTCAATAATTAATATGTGAAATAATAAAAAAGACATTTATGAATATTATAATCCATTACCGGTATGTTCCGGAATCATAATACGAAAATATCCGACGAATCCAATAGTACGTACAATAAATAGTGGGATCTTTTCATTCCATAAAGCTTCTGATAATTTTAAAAGTGGTTTTTCTGAAACACCAACGGCTATTACAATGGTGAATTGTAAGAAATAGTCTATTCTATTCTCAATAAGAGAAATAGGATCCTAACACAAAGAATAGATGAATGGAATTGTTAATAAGTCATATGTATATCTATTAAAAAATATTAAAAATATTTTGCAATATTAAATATATTTAACCTCTGCAAGATAATCCCCCCTCACATCTTCATTTAATTCTTGTAAGAGCTCGGTAACAGCCTGAGCTCTGTTTGTACCAATTCTATCCCCATCCAAGAAAAAAGAAATCCCAGCGTCAGCGCAATCGACTTCTTTTCCATCGACTACAGTAAATGATCCAATGCCTGTATTTATTGAGTAGTTTAGTAATCAATTTAGACAAATCGATAGTTATATATGTTAAACTATAAGAAAACCCACCGGGTAAGACTAAATCCTTAAGGACCTCACATCCTGTTGCAGTTCCATTAATAAGACACACCCTTGAGTTTTCTAGGGCTGCTTGGCCACTTGCTTGCCACAAACTATTTGTAAATAGATTAATTTAAAGTTGATCGCTATGTAGATATTAATAGTATTCAAAAGCATTTACCGAAGTTGGCGATCATATTTTTGAGTTTTTTTATCAATGTTCATTCTGCAAAAAAAATGAAAGATGTAATAAGTTGAATTTCGGTAGAGATGTCCGAGTTCAGATTTTTATCCTCGAATTTGCATGTTGTGATCATCCAATCAAATTCAAAGCATCTTGAGAGATGTTACTATAAACCATTATGCATAAAAATTCGCGGTCTCGTGATGATGTACGCTAAAATTTCATTGGTCAAAGCAAACCGCAGATCGTGATCGAGCCGGCAGTTTGTTTTGTTTTCACGTTACACCTGATCCTGTATCGTGATGTGATTGTATAATCTAAAAAACGATGGATTTTCAATTTTAGCCAAAGTAACTATTTGAAAAGAAAGATTAACGGTTAAGTTCAATTTCCGTTTGAGTGGAGTGGAATGCTAAAGAACTTAATTCGTAATCCGTGAGTAAGGGAAAGACTATGATTAATGATCGGCGGGGTGCATTTCGTATCAAAACAATCAAT